TCGCTGTAGTCGTGCAGCAGCCATGACTGATGTGGACTTTGAGGGGTTAAATAAACTGATCAAGGGCTTATGGTCTGTAACAATGGTGAATTTACGACCATAGAGATACATGTTGAATTTCTTCAGAGCCCAGATGATTGCGTATGCTTCTTTATCCACCATACTATAATTCACTTGGTGCTCATTTAGGCTTTTGGAAGCATATGCAATGGGGCGCTCTGATTGATCAGGCATTATATGAGATATCACTGCACCTACTCCAGACATTGATGCATCTGTATCCAATTTAATGGGGAGTTTGGGGTCAAAATGAGTGAGCACTAGATCAGATGATAGATATTCCTTACATTTCACAAATGCTTGCTCACACTGGGCATTCCAATTCCACTCTGCATCTTTGTGAAGTAATCCATTGAGTGGGGCTATGGTAGAGGCCAGGTTTGGAATGAATTTGTTGTAATACTGGAGTTTGCCCAGGAAAGAGCGGAGGCTTGGAATATCATAGGGTCGGGGTAATTCCAATATGGCTCTCACTTTCTCAGATGATTTATGTAGGCCATTTTTATCTATCACGTGACCTAGATACGAAACTGATTTTAGCATAAAGCAGCATTTGGCTTTATTTAATCGGAGATTGTGATCCTGTAACACTTGTAGCACTTTATCCAAATTCTGCAGGTGTTCTTTATCATCGCGACCTGTTACAATTATGTCATCCATGTAACACTGAACACCTGATAGGGGTCGCAGAAGTTGATCCATAGCGCGTTGGAAAATCGCTGGCGCCACCTTTGTTCCATAATTGAGACGATTGTACACATATAAGCCTTTCGACGTGTTTATTGTTGTATAGGCTTTGGTTTCATCAGATAATTCGATCTGATTAAAGGCATTACCCAAATCGAGGGTAGTAAATTTCTCACCGCCTGCTAAATTAGCATAAATATCCTCGATCACTGGCATTGTGTATATGTTATCCTCTAATGCGGGGTTAAGAGTTCCCTTATAATCACCGCATATGCGCACGGATCCATTCGATTTCAGAATCGGGAAGCATGGTGTAGCCCATTTACTATTTTTCACTGGAGAAATTATACCCATATCCTCCAATTTGTCTAGTCCTGTTTCCATCTTTTCCTTCATTGCATATGGAACAGGATATGGTTTGTAGAATTTAGGCATTTCATCACCTTTTGGCCTAAATTCAGCCTTAAATCCTGATAAACAACCAAGCTCATCTTGAAAAAGTTCTTTATGAGACTCAAGAATTTTTCCCAGTTCAACAGGTTGACTTTGCACATTGTTCACCTGTTTAATTTTATTCCAGTTCAGCTGAAGCTCATGTAACCATTCTCTTCCCAGGAGGGGTGGTCCATTTGAAGGAACAATTAACAGGCGTAACTTCCTGTCTTCATTCATATCAGAAGTTACTTTCACAGAAGTTTCACCTTTCGGATGAATAGGCTGGCCTGTATACGTATATAGTTTAATCCTGGTGGGCTGAATGTCCAAATCCTTTCCCAAAAGTTTTTGAGCATCCATTTCAGACATAAGCGTAAATGCTGATCCTGTATCGATTTCAAAGTTCACTTTACGATCATTTATCGACAACATTTCCTTCAGAGGTTTCAATCCTTTGCTGTTTACATTTTTAACATTGATGTAATACAGACTATCACTTTCACTTGAGTCACTATCTGATTGATACTCTGCTTCCAAGGTTTTCACTTTGCGTCCTTTGCCACGTTTCTTTTCCGAATGTTTTCCAGCCTTACTTTTCTTGCAGGCACGTTTAATATGACCTTCACGATGGCAGGAATGGCACGTTTCATTCTTGTAGAAGCATGTATCTGGGGTGTGACCTTGTCCCAGACAGCGAAAGCACTGAGCTGTCTGCGGTTTTGGGGCTTCCTGTTTAGTGTCAACTCTATTTACAGCGGGAGTACCCTGCATTTCCCGGAGGTTTTTAGACGTTAATTCCATATTAATTGCTTTCTCATATGCCGTTGCGAAATCCATATCATCGTTCATGAGACGTTTCTGTATATAATCGTCACTAATACCGCACACAAGTTTATCTCGCAGGGCTTCTGGCAAAAAGGTACCAAAATCACATTTATCAGCCATAGATTTTATCACAGACGTATACTCAGCAATAGATTCACCTGCTTGCTGCTCTCTCTTGTAAAATTTGAAGCGCTCTGCAATGACAAGAGGTTTTGGTGCAAAATGTCTACAGAGAGTGTTCATAACTTCATCAAATTGCAGCTCATGAGGACGTCTTGGCGTTGATAAGTCTCTAAGGGTCTTATATGTCTTAGGCCCTATAAGCGTGAGCGTAATCGCAACTTTACGAGTGTCATCATCTTTTATTCCCATGGCCTTGAAATACTGAGTCAGTCTTTCAAAGTAAATGTCAATCGTTTCGACTTCCTCGTCGAAATTGCTAAATTTCAAGTCACAACGAAAGTCACTTTCTGAAGCTCCGTGTTCAGGGTTATGATTATCCATGATCCTCGTCGCCAATTGTTACATATATACTAAGAAAACAGACAAATCCAGTTTAGGAAATTCACGTGTATTTTCAATCATCGGCCATTACTAAAAACCTATACAAGTGCGACATCTATCTTTAGATGTAAAAGTTTATGTGCTTAAAGTGTGCGCCAAAATTTAAAACTGCGCAGGCGCAGCGCTCTCGCTAACCTATATAAAGAGATTACAGGGTACAGGCTTCAGAGGTAAGCCAGGAAGGTGTACAACTATCGTCCCGTGTTGATTCCCCGTATAATCGTAACCAGGCAAGTTTCAACATTGGAATTGAAAATAACTATTAGATATACTTTGTAGATGTTTATATATGAAGGTATTAGTGTATGCATCAATCAAATGGCTCATTTTGAACATATAAAAAGTATTTGTGTTTTGTTTCCCAGGGAATTGTATTCCCATGTACTACACACATAAATAGTGTACATTATGTTGTACTTGAATAGCCTGGCTTATATAATATTGAAGGGCATGCTAATTGTACACACGAGTACATGCAAGAAGGCCTAATATTGATATTGCTTGCATACCTAAGTAAAAAATAAACTCTTCTAATCCCCTAATGTAAACACGGCGGTATACGTAGCCCGATTTATCGGGGGCTTTAAGGAGCTACTTAGATTTATGATTACATACATGTACATATAACATAACAGATGTAGTCAGAGGTTGTTAACATAACAGATGTAGTCAGAGGTTGTTACCACAAGAGAAAGATTTCTTGTAATTAATTTTATTATTCCGTTGACATTAACGAATTTTCATTTCATTTGTAGGGTGTTTATTGATCAGGTGGTGTATTATTTCATCAAAGTCTTTTGATTTTCCGTGACAGTAGTAACACTGGAATCCCACATATCTGAAAATAAACAGGATAAATGTAATCCCTATTCCATGGCTCGTCCAAACATGCTTTTATTACCATAACCATTGCTCTTCCTTTCGAGGAATCAAAATCTCCTGATTTGACTGCAATTACGGCTCAAATTGGGAAATGGATGGGTTTACGATATAAATACGTTTATCAACAATAATTACATGCAATATCAAGGAATTCTATGCAGGAGAAGTATCATTATTTTGAAAATAATCGAAAAAAATATGCAGGAAATTAATTTTTCTTTTCACATCACTTCGTATCCGTTTCACATATAAGAATGAATCTTTCTTACATTACAAATCTTATTATGGGCATCTGAAGCATCAGTGCACCTAGTTACAGGCCAGCACAAGGCCAATAAAGAGTAGAACTTAGAGAAATAAACTTACTGCTGGTCCGCCATAGTTAGGTTTGGGCGCCTTGCCTCGTCTTTACCATCACCCTTGAAATTAGCTCCGCTCACTAAGCATAGGGTGATACCATTAACCAACCTATCGTTTCTACGGAAATCTATCCCAATCTTTTACTGAAATCTAACGTACAATTTCGAAATAAAAATGATTTGTTATCGTCAAGAGGAGGGTAAACCCCATGATTAAACATTTCATCACACCATTAGAAAGCTTTTTTGTCATATTGAATGTAGTTTTTACCAGTTATGGTTAAACAACTGAGAAATCAAACATTACGTTACGACGTGAACACCGACAATGCTAAGTGTGTTTTTGTTATTGCGTTCAACAATAACATGCAACAATACGTGAGTTTTCCCATCATAATCCAAAGTGACTAACCAGGATGAAATTGGTCTTCTCACAACTCAGACATCACTTAAAAATATGACATTACGGCACCACGACGATGTTACGTTTTTCATCGTGATTTGAAATGATTAAATACATTTTTAAATCACGACCTTGTAAAGTTACTTATTTAGTCATTGAATTCCCAGTTTAAGTTTCACTTTCTTCTAATTTTGCATCTTTTCATCTTTATGTAAAAGACCGACAGCCGACCACCGACCACCGACCACGTGTACCCAACTGTGTAGAGTGACTGGTCGGTGGTCGGCGGTCGACGTTTTCGTAAACTCAAGATTAAATCAATTCTCCATTATTGCATTATCGCATAAAATTTGCACCAAATCGTATAACTTCGATGGAATAATGATCATGAGATTAAGATACGTTAGCGATCAACAACTATGTCAAGTGCCCATGCATATCAGTATGCCTGCATTTACTCTTTTACACTGGCGTTTTACGTATCCCAAACATCATGCCTAGTAGCAAATAACTCACGGCACATGTATCTCTATGGGATTTTATTAAATCTTTTATATATTTCCTTTGGTGTATTTTTTCTAGCACAAGTAATGTCACTTTAATCAGTATACCGATGATTCAATAAACAGGCTATAAAATTAAGCATACACGTTGATCGGCGAATGAGTAACTTTGCTTATTGTAAGATTTTCAGCAGACGTCATGTATTTTCTATGGGCAACTTTAAAGTAGAATTTAAGGTCAGTTATATTCATTTACGCCTCCATTTTGAAAATATATACGACCTTGGCTTTTATTTATATAGAACGTTGGTCAGATAGTATATTTGGAAGATTTGTTGGAATAAATCAGTTATTTTGTCAAAATATTTTACGTCGACGTAGCCAAGTGATAGTAATAACGTAGCAAATACCTAAGAGTAGATAGAAACGACGTAGCAAACACAGCTCGTATAATTGTGTTGTGTTATCAATGTAAAGTATACTAAATAACAACATTTCCTGTATTTTTGACGGCCATTAAGGAACATTATACAAGGTGGTCCAAAAAATGGGACACTCGTATTTCAAAAATAAATATTGATTTTCTCGTTAAGTCATACTTGGGTCAAGTCAGAGTACCATGGCAAGAATTGGAATATCAGCTGTTCGAAATCATTAATTGATATTAAGAAAGGTAAGACTAGCAATGACGAGTCCAACTCGGAACAGGAATGTGGTGTGGAAAAAGTTCCCGGCATTCCCAGTATTTCCGTTGCCGTCAGTCGTGTAGCAGGGACTTGCTTCCAAAGTGGCTTGATTGGCAAACGAGCATTGCCCCCCACCGCCACCTGGTGGTCCGCCTCCAGGGGGTCCACTTTGTCGCTTTTTGCGCATCATTGCGGGACCTCCCATGGAAGAAACATACCCCCCTTTATAACAACCAAGGTAATATGGGTAATCGTGAGTGACCCGATATCGGTAATTTCCGTTCACGGTTTCTCCATGGCATTCGTCCAAGTCGGCACTTGTTAGGTTTTGACCGGTTGAATTCAATGGTCCATATATTGGGAATCCGTCCAGGGCAACACCGATGAATTGATCGTTTGTGCCGTCTTCAATGCAGTTCGGAACCATATGGTAATGGTACACACCCATTTGATCGGGGTGGGCATTACATTCATCGAATTCCTCCGCGCCATTTCCCTCAACCGCATTACACCCTTCTAACGTAAATGGGTTGAAAATTGCGACACCATTTTTCGCAATTCCTATCACCCCCATTGCTAAACACGTTGACTCGGAAGCAACGGTTGGATTTTTAGGAATATCATATTCATGAGTCTGTGTGGATATCTCATTCGGGTTAGAACCGGCAATCGGGAAGTCGCCTGTATTATGATCTGGCACACCATTACTTGCAAGTTTCCAAGTTTCCCCGTTGTCAGTGATATTGACCCATCCAGAAAGTCCATGGTATTCCCCTACCGAACCATCGTTCCCAAACAGTGCAGCTTCTTCAGCAGAGAGACCAAGTGTACATCCTATTAGTCCCATACATATCAAGATACTAACTGTTGCCATGGTGATTTCTGAAAACAAAAATTAATATCTAAAGCTTAAACCTTATTTCAGTGATGGAGTGTCAAGACACAAGCTTGATATATTTCCATTGTGCATTATAGGAATATTAACAGCTTTAATTTTTTTCTTCTTTTTTTCTTTAGTTTGATATAACACATGACCTTTAACTTCATTCTATATGCGATGGTGAATAAATATAAGGATATTGTTTGTAGTATACAAGTAACTATTAGACGCACGAGTCTCTGTGACCACAGTGTTATTCTTAAACTTTTACATGCTTTTGTAAGACGTTAGGTATCTCAATGATATACCAATGCAAGTAGGACAAAAAATTGATCCAACAGCTGATTGAATTCCTAAATAGTGACAGTATACAAGTACGGTATGTAAAACATAAACTTGTTTTAACGTGCATTTTCATCGCAATATAAAAATACTGATCAGATTCCCATGTTAACGACCTGATATTAAACATCAAGCTTTCTAATAATCTTATTTTAAAAATGCCTTACCTCTACGACTGACTCAATCTGATAATAGCTAACCCGGCCTGTTCGTGCACTGATACTATTTTTTTACTATGTATTGGTTACTAACTAGTTTTATGGATTTTTCAAGCACTTAGATGGTTGTAAAAGGGCGATGTTCCAATGTAGTCATTGACTCCACTTCTGTGTTTCTTATATACCAGCACCATGTTGTTGATATGTGATTCATGTTATCGCGGGGATGAATCAAGGCACGATGATGGCCCAAATAAGCTCAATACGAACTAGATCAGCAACGCCAAGGCGTAGCAAATCGCATCGAACGGCCATGACCGCCATTTTGGGACCCATTTTAGCACCCCATGCAGACAGATCGCCTAGAATTACATTCGTATGATGCGAGGCTCGACATTCACCAGGAAACTTGAAATAATTTGCCACCCATGGAGCAGATTAATTTTATACTGCTTAACAAATGGTCTATGGCAGTCAAATTAAATATAGGTTCTATAAGTATGAGAATGACGTCTTGATATTTCAAAGCAACTCATTTGAAAAGTGATGGCGGTGATTGAAATTACATTGTACAGATAAAACCAGAACGAAATATTTGTAGATTTTTTTGAAAAACTAAGAAATATACATCGCATATCGAATTTTTCAAAAGAGAAAATAACATGTATAAATAGTAAGGCCTGCAAGTCCAATTCCCCCTGGTAGCATTAACATTGGTCTCGTTATGTGTCATACAATTAATATTTGAAACGCAACTATTATTCGAACTTATGATCGGACATAACTATGATATTACTTTATTCCCTTGAAGTACACATCATACTTATGTCCGATCATAAGTTCGAATAATAGTTGTGTTCCAAATATTAATTGTATGACAAACACGAGACCACTGTTACACGATTTTAAACGATTCTATATAATCTTTGGCATTTAGATTATATCACATTACAGTTTTATATGTTGTGCCTAAAATAATGTAAAATTGACACTAATCGGCAATGGCGGCCATTTTGAAAATCTACTTTCGAGCAGAACTTGTACTCTCATAGAGACATACGTGTAAACGGTATTCGGCCAACTGTATTTGAGTTATTGCCCTGACAGACAGACGGACTGACGTACGTACCGGTCTGTTCTCTATATCTTCCGGAGCTCGTTCGATGGGATAATAAAGAGAGCCTCAAGTGAGTATCGGTGTAAAAGGGTAGGAGATCCTTTCAAATAACGGTCCTACTTTCCAATGATTTATATGGTGACATAAATACAACTCTTTCCCTTATTATTGTATTCACAATCAGGGCCAGAAAGGGCCGTTAAGAAAGGGGACCATAATCCCCGGGGTACCTTAATTTCTTTCACACCGGCGTGTTCTAAATATTTGTTTTGACGGTCAAAAGGGAACTTGCTTTAGAGGTAGAAAATAGATGTAGATAGAAGTCTTGGTCGGTCTTTAACACAGAGAAGCTGATAAAAGTGACTTTATTTCTAATTACCCAAAATATACTTTTAAAAACTTATTTAAAACTCAATTTGAATGAAAATAAATGCTTGTGTTTACATGAAAAGTGAGATTTAATTTGCGTTATGCTTATATTGTAATTTATGGATCAGTGATCTCCCCAGTCGCGTATTTTCATGTGCACTATTAGTTTCATTTTACTTTATTAGTAATTTAAACACCCATTCAATATTTCTGCGTCGGAATTATTTCCTTAAGGTGAAGCTAAATTAAATCAAAAGTACAAAAAATGACTGCCATATTTTTTTGATAAAGATACATGTTTTTAAAATCTCTTTATATGAATTATATATCTTGACTTAAGAAACATGTCAAAGTTAACATCACACATAAACGCATTTTTCATAACTACGAATTGGAGGTGCATGGATCCCCAAAGCTAGCATGAAGAGTGTAAAGTGAGGCTAATTTTTGAAAGTTTCAAGGAGTAGCCTTGCAACAGTCACACATTTGCAAAAATCCAAAATTTCCACAAATCATCCAACCATTCCCAGGAACAAAGAAGAAGCATGAAAATGTGCACTTCTTGCATTGTTAGAGTATAATAAAGCTCAAACCATTGCGAATTCTAAATATTTCATTAAACAAAACAAAATGGTGGACATGAAATATGGTATTCACAATGGTTTGAGCTTTATTATACTCTAACAATGGAAAAAGTACACATTTTCATAATCCTTCATTGTTCCTTGGTAAGGTAGGATGATATATGGACTGTGTGACTGTTGCAAGGCTACTCCTGGAAACTTTCAAAAATAGCCTCCATGCACCTCCAATTCATAGTTATGCAAAATGCTTTTAAATGTGATGTTTTTATGTGTCTCTTTAGACAGGAAATGCATTCACATACAAGCAAAACATTATACAAAATCTTCTGACTTTATCAAAAAAATATGGCTGCCATGTTTTTGTACTTTTGATTAACTTTAATGTCACCTTAAACTAAAAATCCTGGCGGAACTACGACATATTTCAAAATAAACAAATACATGCAACAAACCGGTGAAACTGTATTACGTTTGTCAAGGTACACGAAAATAGGGAGTTTGAGCTTGCATATGAAATCGAAACGCCAACCTATATGTATGACCAATCTCCCACACAAATGATCGCTTAAATACTTTCCGTTCACGTTTAGGTTGTGAAAACATTGCAAGCTTAAACTCCCTTATGAAAAAAAAACGTGACGAAAGAATCAAAATTCACGAAGTGACAAGATAAGTACCTGTGTGCCCCGAGGGATCGTGGCCCTACTCAGATTTACAACGTGTACTTCAATGACTTCAGTGTACTTAAAACGATTGATAGTTTAGTTTATTGCTTTTAATATGAGAGCAATAGAAGTTGGTAGAAATAACATATGAAGTTGATTGTGATTCACATTACACGCACAACATACACGCTTTGCACATAATATAGAACAAACAAACATATGCATAACAATAATTCAAAACAATCATTTATTGAATCATGTGTAGGGATATGTATGCAAAGTCAGTTGTAACAGTCATATAATACCCTAAATACAAAGTCATTTCGAAAAATTTTAACAATATATACGAGTTAGAGTTAAATAGTATTACACTTTGTGAAATGCATGCGAATAATACTATAAAAAATATGTCGAAATTGTTCTTAAGTTCTATTTCATAAAAGCGTATTATTCAATGATTTGTTTAAGAAATAGATCACGCGTTTAAATGTATTAATTAATTGTTGCTTGCTCTTAATAGCGGGGTCAGATGTCCTTTTTTGTTCGGCTTTTTCAGGAAAGCAACAAACTTGGCACAGTTGTAGAATCATATGATATGAGTAAAAAATGATTTCAGGGCAAGTGATTTGGGGTGGTCTTCATGGATTTTTTAGCCTCTGACCCCCCACCCCTACCAGACTGGGAGGGGTATATTATTAAAATTAAATAAAAATGGTTTTAAAGTATTTTTCTTTAAATGACTTCATTTGGTGATTGCTTTGAGCCTTGAAATTGTGTAAAACCCAATTAAGAAGTTGTGTGTAGCAAGAAAAAACTCATTTTAACCCAATTATCTAAGAATAATTCGTTGTTTAAAGGGCCAAATACGGAACATCCAGTACTGTATTTCAAGAATGTGATGTCTCATAGTCCTGTTTATCACAGATAGAAAATATATCACGGGTGGCTCATGTATTTTTTGAGAAAAAAATTCTCGAAATTTCAATTTTTAAGTGCATGCAGCTCAGGGGTAACCTTATTTTACCTTAATAATTTTTAAAATATGCAATGTATGCATCTCATATGAGGTCAAAATGATGCATAGAGCATTGTTTTGTCAAATTATTCCTAATAAGATGTAAACAAATTATTGGAAATTTTTCAAAAATCCAAATTTTCATTTTCGCTTCTAAAAGGCCAGGGGTAACCATATTTTACCTTAATAATTTTCAAGATATGTAATATATGCATCTCAAATTAGCTCAAAATGGTGCATATAGCTTTGTTTTATCAGATTACCCTTGATTAGATGTAGAAAAATGATTTTACATTTCTTAAAAATCTAAATTTTCATTTTAGCTTATTGTAGCCTATGGGTAGCGAAAATGAAAATTAGATTTAAAAAAAATTCCAATCTTTTTTTACTTCTAATTAGCAATATTATGACAAAACAAGACTAGATGCACCATTTTGAGCTCATTTGAAATGGATATATTACATATTTTGAAAATTATTAAGGTACAATATGGTTACCCCTGGCCATTCAGAATCGAAAATGAAAATTTGAATTTTTTTTTTGATTCCAATCTTTTTTGTACATCTAATTAGCAATAATATGACAAAACAATACTAGAAGCACCATTCTGAGCTCATATGAGATGCATACATTGACTATCTTAAAAATTATTGAGGTAAGATAAGGTTACCCCTGAGCCAAATGCACCAAAAATTGAAATTTCGATATTTTTTTCTCTGAGAATACATCAGCTACCAAAGCAATATTTTCTATCTGCAATAAACACTTATACTTCTATTACTGTGAATTTTTTAAGGCTATTAGTCATCACATTCTTGAAATACAGTAATCGACGTCCCATATTTGGCCCTTTAAATAATGAATTTTTCCTGGATAATTGGGTTTAAATGTAATTTCCTCACTAAATACCACTTCTAAAATGAGTTTTACATCATTTCAAGGCTCAAAGCAATCACCAAATGAAGTCATTTAAACAAAAATACTTTAAAACCATTTTTATTTATTTTTTATAATTTACCCCTCCCCACCTGATAGGGGTGGGGGTCAGAGGTAAAAAATCCATGAAGACCACCCCAAATCACTTGCCCTGAAATCATTTTCCACTCAAATCATATGTTTCTACAAATGTGCCAAGTTTGTTGCTTTCCTGAAAAAGCCGAACAAAAAAGGGGTTATATCAGGACATCTGATACCGCTATAACCTGGACTGTTTGGTCTTAACAGTAGAGACGAAATACTCTCAATTATACACGTTGCTTATTTATAAGAATTTAAGCATGATATTTGTCTAAAATATTACACGAGTTCATTGTAGCTAATTTTTATTCGAGACTAGCTCCAACCACTTTCTGTAGTAGATGGTTACTCGCAAAGTGTACAGACTTCTCCTTCTAAATAGTATTCTCATTTTATGTGCCATGTTTTTATGTTCTATTTAAAGAGAAAAGGATGAATTGGTCAATTAATTTTTTACTACAATCTGCTTGTTCAATGGTATTTGAGTTTTTGCCCAGACGGACGGACGGCCGTACGTAAGTACGACAACCCTGAGAGTACGGACGGAGCCGTTCTCTATATCCCCAGGAACTTCATTCAATGGGATATTTAAATGTCCTGGTATTGGAAAAACACTCCTGTATAAAAAAAATACTCATCACATACTCATCTAAGACTATAAAATGAATCGACGTACGTTATGGTGTATGTTTATAAAATAAAAATTGTATTTTTAACGCTTTTAACTCAACAAAACTCAACATCTGCTGACCACCTGCCATTTGTTACAGAGACCGAATACAGACCATCGACCGCCGTCCACAAAAACCTTGGAGACTATTATAACAATACGTCCCCACTTCTGGTGGTGACATGATAAACTAAGCTTTAATCCATATTAAGCTCGTAAAGATTTACCAATCATCCTGTAATCTAAAAATCTATATTAACCCAATCTATTTTGATAAACCACTATTCCATAGCTTGATGGCCCTGACTCCAGTTAGTATCATTCAAAATGGTGGACAAACATCTTTCGTTCTCGGTAAATAGACGAGCTATAAGAAATTATCTGTCATCCATCTGTGGAACAGTGATAAACTAGTAGATGTACTATACGTTACCACTGTTTATCAAAATATAACTAAAACAGTTTAAAGGGTTCCGATTAGCATCCCGTATAAAAACAATATGGCGGCTCCAGGCGAATCAACTGGATCAGTCCATTTTTAAGAAATAAGGGGAGTTCTGTAAAATCCAGTTTATTGAAATTGTCTTTGAGATAAAGTAATCCGTTTATAATGATTTTGAAAACTTTATCCAAAGAGTGATTGCGTTCAAAGAATACATGTACAACAGCCAATATAAATCCTTTTTATTAGAAACCGGTTTGTCTTGCTTTGTTTCATTTGTAGGATATTTCATATGCCAAGCTGTGTGCTATTACGTTATGGGAAAATTTAGATGCCAATTTTTCCTTATTATACACAAATAGAAGATCCTGAAACTTCACTCATAAATGTGGAATTGATTTGTCAAAATAAAAATCACCCTTTTATAAATGTGTGACGATCTAAAATATACTTATGCTATATAACAGTTAGAGGTGTTGACACAACGACCTCGAACCTGTGAACCCTTGAGTATTATTCCGGGATCGGGCCTTTTATACTGAACAGTGAGCAACACCAGAAACGAGCGTTCGATTTGCTAAACGATATGCGTCACCCTTTAACTGTGACATTCGTGAGCTTGTCGGAGAACATTTCAAAAAGCATGTTGATGGGATAATTGCTTCATCTATGATATGATATGATTCTTTATTTCCTCCACTTTGGAGAGCCAACGTGTAAAAACGTCTAATTGACTTTATTAGGGAGGTTTAGTTACGCGTTTTATGAAAATCTTGCACGGCGCACATGTAGAAGTATTGCTCTCTTTAATATTGTCTCTCGGAATAAAACCAATATTGAATCCCTCTCAGTAAATAACCTCTATATAATAGCATTGTATACTGATACTGCACAAAAACGTATTATCACACTACCTCTCAAGTTTTCCAAAAACACGTCTAAATCGTTTGAAAAAACAAGTCCAGGACAATCAACACTTGTTGGTCACCGTGGTAAAGTTACACGGTGAAACGCTTGACGTAAATAGTTTGTAAGATCCACAGGAATTTCATTCTTAAGTTACGTTTGCTTCATGAATACCAAAATAAGTTTCCGCAATACGATACGCTAACGTTTAGCCCTACGCTGGTTTTATGAACAAAGTTACCAAACACGGAGTAACTGTGCCCTTACACCATTTAGGCCAGCGTGCATGTTGGGAAATTGCCTGGCGATTCCTCAATTGAGTCACATGTTATTTTTCAAACACGAATATTATTCCTTCCCCACATTGTCTACATCTTCCAGGTCTGTACAAAGAGTACACGTATGTGCCTAGAAAAGACTTGTGAGAAGATTTGTTCTGTAAAATGTTTAAAACACGAGAAAATTCAGTGAAAAAAAATTCTGAAAATTTTCTGATTTTTTACACTGAATTTTCTTGTTTTTTATACACTTTATCAAAACATTCTTTCCCATCATGTACCCTGACCTTAATTCTTTTTGTACTTTTCATTGTACTTGTTTACCGATAGTACTTCATTGACTATTGCGCAGTAAGTTCGCGAATCAATTTTGTAGATACATGTACATCAAAAATAAGCCTCCATTCTTTGTTACCTTAAAGCTTCCTAACAACTCCAATACAAAGTCTGGGAAAGTGTAGAGGGACTTTATGAACACCATATGCAGGGGCGTAGCCAACTTTCAGTCAGGGGGGGGGGGGGGGGGGGTAGGCGATCGCCAAACAATTCGGTTTTCAGTCATAAGTTACACGGTGCAAATACTTGACGTTTTCGTGGCATAAGTAACCAA